TTGACTAAAATTAGTTTTCATTGTTCGAGAGTAGTTATCAATAACTACTTTAATTAATTAAAAAAAAACAATTTTCGAAGACAAGGATCACTTCAATGAATTTCTTTTCGATATTTTTTTTGTTATTTGAGTTGATTTGCAATCAATTATCAAAATAAAACGAAATCTTACTATGACAATGATAAAAATAATTGTGAACATAAACAAGAAAATTAATATTAATACAAAAAATAGCATCAGTCGAATCATTAGAAAAGTTTTAATGTGAGTGTAAAGTAAATGAAATTCAATAGATTAATATATTATTTCATAACTTATTCTTCAATAACAATAATATAATTATATTTTTTAATTTCTACAAAAGTAAGCACTAACTATTTATGATATTTACTAATTGAAAGAGGTTGACATGAGTTGAAATATAAAGGGAGTCACGTAAGTTCTGATCCCCTCGTCAAATATTTTTTTCTTACGCATTTCTGCAGAGGTGGCCTGAGGCAGCAAACATTGGGGGACTTGTCCCTGACTTTTGAGATGGAAATATAATTTTTCTTCTAATAGAACGCAAGAAAAATTTTCGACTCTGCTGGGGAAAAACGAAAATTTTCGATTATTGGGGGGTTGTCACAACCCTCACTCGGGCCACCCCTGCATTTCTGGGTTCGAAGAGACTGATATTTTCGGTATTTATACTAGATGTCTAGATCTACTCTATACTAGAATTTCACGTTTCTACTTATTTCTATTACAGTGATACAAGCATCACCAAAAATAATAAGAATTTTTGAATTGTAACTAGAACAATTATGGACGAGAAAAATTGCATCCAATCTATAACGGATCGATATCCAGCAGCTTTTCCGTTACTATATAAATCGAATTTCGACTTGTAAATGTCTTTTCGAGTAGAACTATTAATGTTGCATTATAATCAAGAATTAAAAATAATCAGGTATTCCTGATAATATTTCGACTTTTTTTTTCTTATTTTTAGTGATGCTTGTATCACTGTAATAGAAATAAGTAGAAACGTGAAATTCTAGTATAGAGTAGATCTAGACATCTAGTATAAATACCGAAAATATCAGTCTCTTCGAATCCAGATACATGTAAGAAAAACAATATTTGATGAGGGGATCAGAACTTACGTGACACCCTTCATTTCATGTAATATTATTCAAAATAAAACTATTTTTTAAGTCATTTTTCTGTTTGAGGAAGTTTCTGGAAAATGTACAACAACATAATTTAGTTTGATTGGAATTTTCATACTAACATATATATTATATAGAGGATCTTCAGATCTATAGTTTAATATAGAATATGAATAATTATCTTCTCATAATCGAACACTAAATACATCAATATGATCGTTCGTTTGTTGATCAAAATAATACGAAATTGTATTGATTTCTCAATTAGAGTTTATTTTTTTGTAAAGTTTATATTAAAATAATAAATAATTTTGATGAAATGTAAGAAAACAAGCTAGTAAAAAAATTAGCGTAATTTCTATTATTTTCATAAGTAAATAGTCAAATGTATTTGTTAAAAATTAGACTATGAAAAGATAACTATTTACATTATAGCTTGAACTATAGATCTGAAATTTCTCTATCATTTTCGAAAACTTTGTCAAAGGAAGACTTTTTTTTAGAAAATTTTTCTATTTTTAATTATGTTATATAAGAATAATATATTCATTTTGCAGAAACATAAATTTAATGTTGAGATCGATAGTAGGATATATCGAAAATAGATAGAATCATTGTAACGTGACGTTTGAAAATATTTTGAAAAATATTGGATTGTCCTAATGTCGATCAGCTATGAGCAAATATTTAGAAAAAAAAATGAAAATGATATATTGACGAAGAAACTAAAGGATAATATATAATTCTTCATTTTTTTAGGTTTTATTTTGAAACAAATTTAATTCAACAATTTTAAGATGTATCTTCATTCAAAAAGGATGCATTCCAGTAGTATTAAAATTAATGTAATCAAATGTTATCAATGATATCTTTTTTTGGAATAGTTGTCATTCACATAAAATAATATACTTTGAAATAATCGATTCTTTTGAAAATTTATCTTTCATGTTACAACAGATACTTTTTTTTACTTTAGAATATTAAAAGAAAATTGGGTAAAATATGTTGCTGTTGCTTAGCGAATCTGACTCTGAAAAAATCGAACAGGAAAAGTTCTCTAGCGTTTGAAATTAAGTAGGTTTTAGTAAAATAAAAAAAAAATTTGTAAACAAAATCTCATATCAATTTGATTTGTCGTCGTCTCCAACATTTTTTTAATCACTAAGTAATCATAAAACTAAAGAAAGATTTTAAATGTACATTTGTAAAGAAAACAAAATTCTGGTTATTTTAACTATCTATATGTTAGTTTTTAGTAGTTATGTTTGAGTTGTCGAAAAATGAAAAGAAAAGTATTTGGTCTGAGCAGTTATGGAATAGAGACTATTCTTTAGTATTAACTATGTAATGTCTTTTTTTAAGCTGTAACTTTTTATGTGAACACTTGAAGATATATCTTGTTAGTTAGTACTATTCTTCACTGTTAATAAAACATTCAACAAGTTAATATTCAAAGATCGTCTCTCCTACACTCATTCAAAACCTTTCACAGAGATGATTGTTGGAATAAAAGAAGTCTTGTGAAGTTTTTTTTTCTTGAACGGAAAAACTGAAAAAAGTCTAAAAAGTAATTTCTTTTGTTTATCTCTATGATTCTTATATAAATTCCAAGAATATAAAATCTACTTGATTTTGTGAAACTCACGTATAGTTTCGTAGAAGGTAGTAAGTGTAAGTTTTAAGTTCAACTTTTGGACCACTTCCCTTCCTCTCTATTACAGACATCTAGCAACGGAGAAAGAGAGCATTATAGATATATCATCCATTACAGATCTCAGCAACCGCACACAGAAAAAAACATCAGCTTTATTTAACAATAGAAAAAGAGTTGAAGAGTATGAATAATATGAGTTTGACAACTACGCAATATTTCAATATTTTTAGAATTATTTGACAAAACTAATATACACTTAATAAAATTCTTAACAGTATAATCATTGATATTTTTAAGAATTTACAATTGTATGTTAAAAATCAAGGATGAACAGTGATAATAGGTATGAATCTGTCATACCGATGATATAAGGAATATAAGAAACATGATTCGACCCTTTTAAGTAGTGTCAGAAGTAAACAATATTATTGTTTCTGAATTAACTGAGAAATATATTAGTGTCCTAAGAAATGACTAATGCATATTAAGTGCATTATAGTAAGGGTGTGGTGTGGATGTGGGTGGGTGTAGTTGAGAAAAAGAATCCCACCAACATCCACACATCCGCAGCTGCAGTTATAGATATAGCCACAGCTACACTCCACACACTCACATCCACCCAGTCCACAGCCACATCCCACACCCCACATCCTAGACGGTCTTGTTCTGATTGAACACTGTCTTGATTACTTCAGTCTAATATCCAGACTAGAATATGCCAGAGGGGTATGCCATGACGCTTCCCAAACATTTTGAAAATTGGTATCAATCGACGCCAAGAACATAGAAAATGACTGCGATAGGGTGAAGATATGGTGATATGACTTTTGAAGTAAACATCTCGAGTACACATAAAAATGGCAAAAAAAATCGATGTGTCATTGTTTACCTTTCAATAAGTGTTTAAGTATGTTGCTAGTACTTTTACCCTATACATATTTAGATCAAACGATGTACCTTTCGACAGGCTACCAAAAGGACGACGCTCAGTCAGGGATTTTGAGACGTGAAGCATCAATAACCTCACCAAGCACACAAAGGCATAAGAAAAAATAATGATAGTTTCTATATTCTGATGACTGTTGAACAGACCAGCTTTGCGAAAATAAACACCTTCCATAGAATTTTGTAGAGTGAATTATACTCTATCTTGTGGTGTAAGATAGTGATTGTTTCGATCAGGTTTTTGTGTTGAAATATTTGACGAAAGAGAAAACAAGTTTTCTTCGCAAAAAGAATCAATTTTTCACACATTGATTATTGCCGAAAAATAGTCAACGTACAAAATCTCTTCGAGACTTCATCTCAAACATTTGAAAATTTCTGCTTAGACCTAGCTTTTTATGCTCCTTTACACTGGCTGAGCAATTTCAAGATGCAATATTTTTCGGCAGCTGCTTTCGGTGGCGGTCTCATGGACTCTCTCTTAATCGAATCCACTCAACGAATAAGAAAGTGAATCCAGTTAGAATTACAAAAATATATAAATCCAACCGCTAGTTATTACAATGGTTGATACGTATGTGTAACTCGCGTTAAAAGTTATTACTACGAATAATCCTTTTAACTTGCTTCAATTCTTAATGGAAAAATTCATCAGCTATCACTGCAAAATTCTCCATTCATTTTTTACTTGTCCTATTTCAATTTACCCATTCGTTTCACTACGTATAAATGCATGTAAGTATATATGACTGTATCTGGACGTTATAAAAGCCAATATAACACCTAACTCTAGCCCAGTAGTTACACCGAAAAATCGGTTACAGCAACACTCAGATTCATATTTCATACCATATACACTATCATTGGACTTCTAGATTGACATTCATTCAAATGCTTGATCGCAACAGAATGGTCTCACTGTCGTTGGAGGAAATGGGGATGGCAATGGAATCAATCAACTCTACAACCCATGTGGTTTATATGTGGATGATGATCAAACAATTTATGTTGCTGATCAATTGAATCATCGTATTGTAGAATGGAAAAGGGGTGCAACGAATGGACAAGTGGTTGCAGGTGGAAATGGACAAGGAAGTGGAACTCATCAATTATCTAACCCATTCGATGTGATTGTCGACAAAGTGACTGCTAGTCTCATCATCTGCGACTATTCGAATAGAAGAGTAGTTCGATGGCCTCTTCGAAATGGGACAAGTGGAGAAACAATCATTTCCAACATCAATTGTATGGGTTTGACAATGGATGAGAATGGATCTTTCTATATCGTTGACTATGGAAAACATGAAGTGAGACGATATGGAAGAGGAGAATCTCAAGGAACAGTTGTTGCAGGTGGCAATGGAAGTGGAAATCGTCTCGATCAACTCTATGGTCCACGATACGTATTCGTCGATCGAAATCATTCAGTATATGTATCTGATTTGGGAAATGATCTTGTGATGAAATGGGTGGAAGGTGCAAAACAAGGCATTGTCGTGGCTGGTGGTCAAGGAAAAGGAAATGGTCTTACACAATTGTGTGATCCTCGAGGAGTCGTTGTCGATGAATTGGGCACTATCTATGTGGCTGATCGAGTGAATGATCGAATCGAATCATGCGTTGGACGAAAGGAGCTACACAAGGAAGTGTCATTGTTGGTGGAAATGGAAGAGAAGGACAATCGAATCAACTCAATTATCCCATCGATTTGTCATTCGATCGACATGGCAATCTCTATGTCGTCGATATCGGAGATCATCGAGTACAAAAATTCAATATTGATGCAAATCCTTAACAGATGTTGACTATACGTCTCTTTGAAATGTAGTTCTATTCTAGAGAATGATCTACAGAAGAAACATTGGCATGAGTATCCGCGTAGCATCTTGTGGTGAGTGTGGGCCTAGGTGCGTATATCAATACGCATTTTTGCGGAAGATACTAAAGCGAGTGGCAACATTTATGTCGACAGTTAGTCAAAATTTTTGGGTATTCTTATAATTGGCATGAACACCAACTTGGACTAAGTATTAGCTCGACTGAAAATTAGATGTAATGATATTTTAAGATTTTCGATGTACCTATTTCATTGATTCTTTTGATAAAATTGATTTTTCACAATTGTAAGTTACAGATAGTGGAATCAGTGAATTCAAAAGTAACATTTCATGGAATTGACAAACAGCAAAAAAAACAATAGAAGATCTGCACTAGTCTGGAGGAGAAAAATGATTATTGCGAAGAAAATTCCAGTAACACTCGATATCTCCAATGACGTAATCAGTTGTATTGTAATCAGTTTTCCGCACTATTTTTAACAAAAGTTTTATATCAGTGATCAAACACTATTGATACTGGAAGAAAAATAGACTTTTGTAATAATGCTTTCTTGATTCACAAAATTTTTCAATAAAGCTAAGTTTTTTCTTAAGAAATTAGATTTGATAAAGAGTTGCTAATATTGTCACAAATTTCTCCTGTCTTTTCTTGACGTACTAATTTAGCGCATCTATCTGTTTTTTATTAAGTTTAAAGTTTGTTCCTGTGACAAACTCTTACAATACAAGGATTTGTGCTGATAAACGAACTGCGTGGCCTTATTCAAGTCAAACGATTACTTTCGTCGAGAAATTAGGGAATTTAAAATATTAGCTGTTGATGATTTTCGTAAGAAAAGATATTCAATTTTTAATTTATGGATTATTTATGCGTAGAAACATGAGAATATAGTGAGGAAATTTAAAAAGTAATGGCAATGATACTTTAATATCATGTAGTAAGCTTAAAGGAACTTTATCTCTATTAAGTCTCATACAGAAAAGAATAGTCTATTTTTGTATACTATTTGATCATTCCTTAACTAATATCAAAGTAATAAAACTTCGATCAAATCTATTTTTCTATCATATATGAGAATTATTCTATTGTCTATTCAATGGATACTTTTTTGGAAAATTTTTGATAGAAACAAGATAAAGAGCTGCAGTTTTCAGTGGTCGGAAAACGAAATGAAAATACATTTATTCGTAAATTATACGTTCTCTAGAATTTTTTCTTAAGTTTTTTAAATCAAATTTTGAAGGATGGAAAACATGGTTGATTAGCAAAACGAAAACAGCAAAACACGTGTTTTCTGGAGGAGTTGTCAGGGAAACCATTTAGAGCTTCAGCTGTAATAACTGTAGCTCAGAAATGGCTAATTTAAAATATAGAAGTGTTCTGCAGTTATGTAGGTTTCCTCTTGGTAGTTTTAAAGACACACATGACAATTGTGACTTTGCTGTGAATACTTTATAGAGGAGAGTTATTTTTAAAGCGGTCGATGGAAAAATCTTAAAAGTGGCGTGTCAACAAACCTATAACATACAAATCTATGTATTTTTCTAATGCTTTTTGAACGATGAAAATCACACCTCTTTATCTTATTTCACAAAAAGTTTTCCAAAAAATATCCACTGAATAGACATAAGTCCATGTTTTTCTATATGAGACTTTACAGAGACAAAGTTTCATTAAGCGTACTACATGATATTAAAGTATCACTGCTACTACTTTTTAAATTCTCCGACTATATTATCATGTTTTTATGTATAAATTATCCATAAATTAGAAACTGATTATCTTTTTTAAGGAAGCTACCAACAACTAATATTTTAAATTTGTTGATTTCTCGAAGAAAGTGATCATTTGGCTCGAATAAAGTCAATTGACGACGTCATTATTATAAACTCTTCAATTGTTAGTACTCATCATAAATATCTTCCTTAGGAAGATCCATGATGTTTTCATGCTAGATCTTTAAATGATCCAGTCAGAACTCTTGAAAAATTCATCATTTTTTCTTGAAGAAACGATTTATTCGTGAAAGAAGACTGTAGCCACAACATTTCAGTGTCTTGAGCAGACTACAGTTGTTTTCACAGTAGAAATCATTCGAAAATCTACTAAAGTTGGAAAGAAGTGCATAACCATGATTCTTCAACACTCGTGCACGGTTAAAGAGAGGTTTCACTTAGCGTCTTTAATAGTTGATCGCTTCTTTTAGAATGAGAACCATTGGGAATATGATATGTGGCTCTGGATATGAATGCGAGTTCATTTTATGTTGACTAATAGTCTCAGCTATTGATGCATCCTGCTAGTGAATTCTTCCTGTGATGATTCTCGGATTCAGCTGCAACAGTTGATCGAATTCTTGGGTAAAAAGCCTTTCTGCCAATTCCCCTTTCTGCCAGTGACTTTTTGCCAATTCCAAAAATTGGCAGTGCGTCACAGACTCTCTTCCAAATTGGCAAAAAATCTTTTTAATTGGCAGAGTGTCACATGATTTTCTGCCAATTGGCAGAATTGGCTGTGACACTGCCAATTGACTTCCTACCTTAACGTAGGGAAATATTTTCAAATCAAACTTAAAGATAATTTTTTATTCTCTTATGATTTATAGATTATCGCTTCTCTGGAATCTAGAACCTATTCAAATTAGACATTATAAAAAAAAATTTCCACTGTAAATATACATCATTTTTTTAACAAGAAAAAATTAGTTGAAAGATAGAGTCTTTGTTGTTGGTCCTGCTGTTGATATTTTAGTTGCAAGTTTCTTTTTCTTTGGTGACGTGGGTGTGGGTGTGTGGGTGTGGGTGGGTGCGGGTGTGGGGTGTGGGTGTCAGTGTGGGTGTGGGTGTGGGTGTGTGGGGTGTGAGTGTGGGTGTGGGTTTGGGTTTGGGTGTGGGTGTGGGTGTGAGTGTGGGTGTGAGTGTGGGTAGGTGACAAGAAGACTAACACCCACACCCACATCCCACACCCCACACCCACACCAACACTCCACACCCACACCCCCACCCGCACCCACGCCCTCAAGAATAGAGAGAAGACTCAAGCCTAGTCGAGCATAGTAGTGGAGAAGAGAAATAAAACACTTCTCATGTCTATTATGGATGAAACGAAAAATTAAAATGATGTGAAAATGTGAAAGATACCCCAGTATTTATACACTGTAATAAGACGGACTGTACATGAATACAATTTAGTTCAGTAACTTGACTACTCAGAAAGAGAATGTTCGTCCATTAACTCAACACACTAAATCAGTTAGACAGCTAGAAACACGAAAAATAGAAAAGAGGAAAAGAGAAAGGTAACAAAAATAGAGCGATTCAATGACTCATAGCCATTTGGAAAGAGCAAACCAATCGTATTCATTCAACTTTCCACTTTCATATTCCCCTATTATAACCGACAGACATCTTTTACATATTGAAGTAATATTAAGTTAAGTTATCCCTGAGTTCCAATGGGCTATTTTTGCCAATTGGCAAAAAATTACTTTAATTGGCAGCGTGTCAGAGGCGATTCCGCCAATTGGCAAAAAATCGCTATAATTGGCAGAAAGTCAATGACTTTCTGCCAATTGGCAAAACGTCACTGGCAGAAGGGAATTTGGCAGAGTGACACAGATCCAA